GACTCTTAAAGCTCATTTTCTTGATTTCTGTAGTATAGGAGTAAGTTAGAAGTACCTGGGTACAGTATTTACTCTCCAGTTAAATGGAGCATTTGATGTGATGGTTCTTTTTTCAGTTGATGAAATCCTCTGATTTTCTATTTCAAGGAAGATTCTGCAACTAATTCTGTCTCAAAAAGCCAAAAAAATCATATTAAGATCTAGATTTTTAAAAATATAGGACCATTCCGCTTGCTTTGTATAAGTGGTCACATTAATTTAATATTTTCACTTGGCCTATGGGACATGTGGCCAAGCTAACTTATGGCTGGGACCTCTCCCCTTAAAATTTTAGCTTTACTGTGAACCAAAAGAAGTTAGTCTAATTAAACAACATCAGGTTACATGACTGCTTACCTATAAGTCAATTTGATACCAAGTGAAATATATATTTTTTAAAACATAAGCTCATGTAGATAATGCAGTTATATATAACAGATTTTTAACAACTAAGCTTTTGTAATGAATTTTTGCTGAGAAAGTATCTCCTGTAATTTTCATTTTGAAAAGGAAACTTAACAGAAGATCTTTAGAAGACACACACACACACACACACACACACAAACACATATACATAGTTTAACATGTAGTCTAGCCTTAGCCAGGTGTAGTGGTGCACACCTTTAATCCCAGCACTTGGGAGGCAGAGGCATGCAGATCTCTATGATTTCAAAGCCAGCCTGGGACCAGTTCCTAGTCAGCTGGGGCTACAGGGAGACCCTGTTTCAAAACACTTTTTTTTTAATCTTTTTGAGACCAGGGTCTGCCTCCCAAGTGTTGGGAATACAGGCGTGTATGACCAAAAAGGAGGGGAAAACTGCTAAATAACTAAAAGTTGTTATAAATAAAACCCAGTATTGAAGAACCATGTCAATACCTCACAAAGAACACGTGGACAAAGCAACAGTAGCTTGAAAAATCAGATTTTACTTTTGCATAAGGGTACTTTGCAGGACCAGTCAGATCGAGTTTAAAAGAATCTTCCCAAAGAGAGAGGAATCCAGTTGCCCTAGGCCATCAGGTTCATGAATACAACAGGGCCTTCCCTTAAACAAAGTCTTGCAAGGTGTGGTGGAATTAAAAGATTAGAATTTCTTATCAAAAGCCAAGTTCTAAGTTTCACATGTTTTGAAAATGAAGACTAATATTTAATGTACAGGGAGAGACATCTACACATATGAAGCCAGGAGATTACCCCTTGTATGAGTTATTAACATAACATAAATCAGAGATTATAGCACAAGCAGTAAAGGAAACATTAAGACTTTAGGTTAAGAATAAATAAAGTTTAAAGGCCATTATTCAGAACATGTTGCAGTTATCTCATTTTATCTCAGGCTGTTCTCTTGGAGGCAAGAGACTTATTTAGACCTTCTTGAGGGCCGGGTCTTTACACCTACCCCAGAAAAAGCCAGTATCTGACCCAGGTACCAGACTATGGATGAGCCAACAGGATTTTAAATGGCTCTCTGACAAGAAAAGCAGAAGCAAAGGAACCCAAAGTGCTTAGCAGGGTAGATCATTCAGGTGATAGATGAGAAACACACCAACAGTGTTTCAGGATGGATCTCGTCAGGAGCCCATGGAGACTTCAGGACTGACAGACATAGCTGTCATGTGGTCATCATTAGGAGCCTGAGGAGTTCTAAGCCTTAGAGAACTCTATTCAAGCCAAGCCAGCATTCCTGACTTTAATTGCTAAAGAGAATTTTAAGAACAGCTAATATAATAAAAACTATGTTAATGTGGACTTATACAGTAGAGTTAAGGACAAAAGAGCTGCTCAGGAAAAGAGAAAATATCCAAGTTTCCCAGAAGAAAAGTAGTCTTTCTAAAACAGGCCATAATCTATTTGCATATAGAGCTTTGTGCTAGGAGATAAAGAATGAAGGGTGTAAAGTCAGAGAAAGATAAGACTGGTCTTAAAATTTATCTTTAGCTCTATTTATCTTTAGTTCTTTGATACAATCTCTAAAATTTTAAAAATATTTTTTGACTTCAGTATTTTCCTTTATTCACATGTATTTTTCTTAGAGCTCTTATTTTTCTCAATTGACAATTTTATAAATCTGTTGTTTTAGATAATTTCACAATTTAATTAAAGCAGACTGCCCACGTGGTGGTTTTTTGTTTGTTTGTTTTTTTTTGTTGTTGTTGTTTTGTCTTTTTGTTTTGTCCTGGCTGGCCTTGAACTCACAGAGATTCACCTGCCTGTGCATCCCAAGTGCTGGGATTAAAGGTGTGTGCCACCACGTCTGGCCCATGTGTTAGTTTTAAATTTTATTGCCCAGGTCTTTTAGTTAGGTACAATAAAAAACAAAAAACAATTTTAGAACATTAAATATTCCCCACTGATGGGTTATCACTGAACAGATCTCCCTGTTTTTCCAAATATTCACAAGTTGAAAGCTCAGAATTAACATACATAAAGCCAGCTATAGCATCAGATGGCAGTTTGTCTTCAAATTATTCCTCTTTTTGGAAGATTTGTTTCCCATTTTATTTACATATTTATTTATTTATATTTTCTCTTGAAAAATTGCAAGCCTTTCTATGCTAGCTGGGGAATGTGTCTTTTGGATCAAGTTTATGTGCTACTTTTGGGATGAACTTTCTCAATTTTCACACTGAGACCTTCTTCTCCCATGAAGTCTTGGGTTATCCTACATGTTTATGGAAACATGACAGGGCTCCAGACACTGGGTGATCAAGCCTTCGTTTGTGTTTTCTGGGATAAGCCAATAAAGTTCC